AAAATTAACCCATAAAATTCATAAAATAATTATCCTGTGAAGTGTATTAAACAGGGTGAATTTAACCCTTAAACTTCAAAATAAATAATTACCCTATGAAGACGATTAGATCCCAAATTGGTTTTAAATTTTCAAAATCATAAATACACTCACCAAAATACACTGTTAGCGAAAATCCCTTCCGACCCGTCAAACAGGGTAAAATTAACCCTTCAACATTAAAATAAATAATTACCCTATGAAGACGATTAGATCCACACTTGGTTTTAAATTTAAAAAATCATAAATACACTCACCAAAGTACACTGTTAGCGAAAATCCCTTCCGACCCATCAAACAGGGTGAAATACACCCTTCAACATTAAAATAAATAATTACCCTATGAAGACGATTAAATCCCAACTTGATTTTAAATTTAAAAAAATCTTAAATACACTCACCAAAGTACAGTGTTAGCAAAAATCCCTTCCGACCCGCCAAGCAGGGTGAAATTAACCCTTAAACTTCAAAATAAATAATTACCCTATGAAGACGATTAGATCCCAACTTCGTTTTAAATTTAAAAAATCATAAATATACTCTTCAAAGTAAACTAATAGCGAAAATCCCTTCAGACGCGTCAAACAGGGTGAAATTAACTCTTCAACATTAAAATAAATAATTACACTATGAAGACGATTAGATCCCAACTTCGTTTTAAATTTAAAAAATCATAAATACACTCACCAAAGTACATAGTTAGCGAAAATTTCTTCCGACCCGTCAAACAGGGTGAAATTAACCCTTAAACATTAAAATAAATAATTACCCTATGAAGACGATTAGATCCCAACTTCGTTTTAAATTTAAAAAATCATAAATACACTCACCAAAGTACATAGTTAGCGAAAATTCCTTCCGACCCGTCAAACAGGGTGAAATTAACCCTTCGACATTAAAATAAATAATTACTCTATGAAGACGATTAGATCCCAACTTCGTTTTAAATTTAAAAAATCATAAATACACTCACCAAAGTACATAGTTAGCGAAAATTCCTTCCGACCCTTCAAACAGGGTGAAATTAACCCTTCAACATTAAAATAAATAATCACCCTATGAAGACAATTAAATCCCAACTTGGTTTTAAATTTAAAAAAATCTTAAATACACTCACCAAAGTACACTGTTAGCAAAAATCCCTTCCGACCCGTCAAGCAGGGTGAAATTAACCCTTAAACTTCAAAATAAATAACTACCCTATGAAGACGATTAGATCCCAACTTCGTTTTAAATTTAAAAATCATAAATATACTCTTCAAAGTACACTAATAGCGAAAATCCCTTCCGACCCGTCAAACAGGATGAAATTAACCCTTCAATATTAAAATAAATAATTACCTTATGAAGACGATTAAATCCCAACTTGCTTTAAAATTTAAACAATCATAAATACACTCACCAAAGTACTATGTTAGCGAAAATCCTTTCTGACCCGTTAAGCAGGGTGAAATTAACCCTTCAACATTAAAATAAATAATTACCCTATGAAGACGATTAGATCCCAACTTCGTTTTAAATTTAAAAAATCATAAATACACTCACCAAAGTACACAGTAAGCGAAAATCCCTTCCGACCCGTCAAACAGGGTGAAATTAACCCTTAAACATTAAAATAAATAATTACCCTATGAAGACGATTAAATCCCAACTTGGTTTTAAATTTAAAAAAATATTAAATACACTCACCAAAGTACACTGTTAGCAAAAATCCCTTCCGACCCGTCAAACAGGGTGAAATTAACCCTTCAATATTAAAATAAATAATTACCTTATGAAGACGATTAAATCCCAACTTGGTTTAAAATTTAAACAATCATAAATACACTCACCAAAGTACACTGTTAGCGGAAATTTCTTCCGACCCGTCAAACAGGGTGAAATTAACCCTTCAACATTAAAATAAATAATTACCCTATGAAGACGATTAGATCCCAACTTCGTTTTAAATTTAAAAAATCATAAATATACTCACCAAAGTACACAGTAAGCGAAAATCCCTTCCGACCCGTCAAACAGGGTGAAATTAACCCTTAAACATTAAAATAAATAATTACCCTATGAAGACGATTAGATCCCAACTTCGTTTTAAATTTAAAAAATCATAAATACACTCACCAAAGTACACAGTAAGCGAAAATTCCTTCCGACCCGTCAAACAGGGTGAAATTAACCCTTAAACATTAAAATAAATAATTACCCTATGAAGACGATTAAATCCCAACTTGGTTTTAAATTTAATAAAATATTAAATACACTCACCAAAGTACACTGTTAGCAAAAATCCCTTCCGACCCGTCAAACAGGGTGAAATTAACCCTTCAATATTAAAATAAATAATTACCTTATGAAGACGATTAAATCCCAACTTGGTTTAAAATTTAAACAATCATAAATACACTCACCAAAGTACACTGTTAGCGGAAATTTCTTCCGACCCGTCAAACAGGGTGAAATTAACCCTTCAACATTAAAATAAATAATTACCCTATGAAGACGATTAGATCCCAACTTCGTTTTAAATTTAAAAAATCATAAATATACTCACCAAAGTACACAGTAAGCGAAAATCCCTTCCGACCCGTCAAACAGGGTGAAATTAACCCTTAAACATTAAAATAAATAATTACCCTATGAAGACGATTAGATCCCAACTTCGTTTTAAATTTAAAAAATCATAAATACACTCACCAAAGTACATAGTTAGCGAAAATTCCTTCCGACCCGTCAAACAGGGTGAAATTAACCCTTCAACATTAAAATAAATAATTACCCTATGAAGACGATTAGATCCCAACTTCGTTTTAAATTTAAAAAATCATTAATACACTCACCAAAGTACATAGTTAGCGAAAATTCCTTCCGACCCGTCAAACAGGGTGAAATTAACCCTTCAACATTAAAATAAATAATTACCCTATGAAGACGATTAAATCCCAACTTGGTTTTAAATTTAAAAAAATCTTAAATACACTCACCAAAGTACACTGTTAGCAAAAATCCCTTCCGACCCGTCAAGCAGGGTGAAATTAACCCTTAAACTTCAAAATAAATAATTACCCTATGAAGACGATTAGATCCCAACTTCGTTTTAAATTTAAAAAATCATAAATATACTCTTCAAAGTACACTAATAGTGAAAATCCCTTCCGACCCGTCAAACAGGGTGAAATTAACCCTTCAACATTAAAATAAATAATTACCCTATGAAGACGATTAAATCCCAACTTGGTTTTAAATTTGAAAAAATCTTAAATACACTTACCAAAGTACACTGTTAGCAAAAATTTCTTCCGACCCGTCAAGCAGGGTGAAATTAACCCTTATTTCACCCTGCTTGACGGGTCGGAAGGGATTTTCGCTAACAGTGTACTTTAGTGAGTGTATTTATTATTTTTTAAATTTAAAACTAAGTTGGGATCTAATCGTCTTCATAGGGTAATTATTTATTTTGGAGTTTAAGGGTTAATTTCACCCTTCTTAACGGGACGGAAAGGATTTTCGCTAACATTGTACTTTGGTGAGTGTATTTATGATTTTTTAAATTTAAAACGAAGTTGGGATCTAATCATCTTCATAGGGTAATTATTTATTTTAAAGTTGAAGGTTTAATTTCACCCTGTTTGACGGGTCTGAAGGGATTTTCGCTAACAGGGTACTTTGGTGAGTGTATTTATGATTTTTTTAATTTTAAACCAAGTTGGGATTTAATCGTCTTCATAAGGTAATTATTTATTTTAATATTGAAGGGTTAACTTCACCCTGTTTGACGGGTCGGAAGGGATTTTCGCTATTAGTGTACTTTGGAGAGTATATTTATGATTTTTTAAATTTAAAACGAAGTTGGGATCTAATCGTCTTCATAGGGTAATTATTTATTTTGAAGTTTAAGGGTAAAATTCACTCTGTTTAATACACTTCACAGGATAATTATTTTATGAATTTTATGGGTTAATTTTACCCTGTTCTGTTCAATGGATCTGAAGAAATGTTTACCTATAGCGTATGTTAATGTATTTATTTTTTAAATGTAAAATTAAATTGCGATCTGATTTACTTCGTCGGATAAATACTTTTATCAATAATTTTAAGGGGTATTTTCAACCGTATATTAATTTTTTGTCAATATTAATGTGTAAAACTCATATTAACAAGATTATTTAAATAGTTGTATGCTAGACGCCACAGTTTTCCCGATCGGGTGTTGTCGGTTATTTTTACTGCTAAAAGTTACTGCTAACTTCACACCGGTCGTGGACAAAAGGTATTTAAAAAATACATTATTTTATTTGACATGTGTGACAAATTGTGAAAATGATAAAATTTACAATAAAAACTGAAAAACGGTAGGTAAAGTTTCATATTATAATAATATTTTCTGCAATAAAATCAATATCAAGCTTTCTACATAACCTGATATTATTCAAAAATAATCTCAAAATGTAATGAAAAGTCAGCTAACTAATAACGTTTATAGATAATTTTCAACGTATTAAAACGAAACAATATTGCAATAACTAAAATATTCATTCATTCATTAATAGTTGTGGTACTTGAAAACAGAGTATGATATTGATAATAACTACACTTAATACAAATCCAAATAAAAAAAAACAGCGATATTGGTGCTTGTACAAAGTTTTCAACCAAACATACAAATATCAAATTATTGGGAAAAATTGAACACCCATTTTAAATAAGAAAGAGTTGCCACTGTATATACATTAATATTTAAAATTTGTATTTTATAATAAATATTAATTATCTATTAATGAGTTTTTTTTTATATATATTCTTTAACTTTTTACTACAAAATTTAGAAACAACAAAAAGATCTGCTAAAAATAAATAGGTCGAGATTATTTTTTTACGATAGCTAATTTGACAAGGCTAATACAGCTTGGGTAGGATCGAGAATCCGAGAATCACAACAAGAGAGCCGAGTAGCCACGAAAAGATAAGTCACATTTATTCACTTTTCATTTCACTTGTTACTTGATTTTTATTTTTAGTATACGTCTGAGCGCGGTTGATATACCTACTCACACTCGCGGTACTCGTTTTTCCCTCACCAACATATACTACAGTCTACAGTTTGTGCGGACTTTCTCTGGCCGGTGCGTTCACTTGTCTTTTGACTTCTTTTGTTTATTTCCAGGTGAATTTTGTTTCCTGTGTTTCTCGATTTTTGTTTATGACAGGTAGGTTGATATTAGTTGATTTTGAATAACTACATTAAAAATTATGTTTTGAATATGTTTCTCATAGGTATATTTAACGGTAACAATTAAATTAAGGATATTGAAAATAATAAATAATTCTGATCGTAAAATCAGTAGTTAGGTAACTTATGATCTAAAATTTGAACTAAGGTAACGATATAGTAAATAATTCTACAGGAATAGATACTTACAACCTATTAAGTGCTGAAATAAAAAAAGGTTGAGCTATATTCATACCTGTCCTGAACATAGATAAAATACTAAATAACACACATACTAAATTTTAAGATAAAATTGAAATAATAAAAAAATATATACCTAGGTACTTAAACTAAATAGTAAATCCTATAGGTAACCTGTAACATGTTACAGTTTTCAAACAACTTGAAAAATTATTGTAAAAAACCTCTTACAATTAAATTGTAGTAAAAAGTAGTAAACCTGCGATAGTGTGAAATCCGAGGTGAAATCAATTACCTACCTTTGTAAAGATCTATGGTGAGAATATATAGGTCTGTCATATGTGTGTTAGTAATACCAATACCTTAGCTAGGTATATTGAAGTGTAAAAATTGAATTAGGTACTGACCCAGCTAGCAAATTACGTTGCCAACCCTTTCGGCGATGTTGTTTTAAGGGGATGTAGTAACATTACTATACAACGTAAATGCAATGTTCATGAGAAGTTGTTGAGGGAAATCTAAACCTCGCAAAACTTCTATTTGTTACTTACCTATTTAATCTACCTGTTATATTAACACAAAGTAATAATGTAATTTGCTATAAAAAATAAAAATTCAGGAAATTTAGAAGCAAAAGTAAATACTACAGAATTGGTTTTATAAGAATAAAACACCTGCGATTTTAGAAAAACTGAATCTATAGTTAGGTAGATGGTACGTCTATATTAAAAAAGAAACCTATCAGATTCAAGCAGTTAATTTTCTTCAACAGGCTTGATGTACCTGGAAATCTAATCAGTTCAAGCACAAACCAAGAAAAAATGTTACGAGAAATCACAGATGATACTCTCGATTATATAACAGAATATCTTGCTAAAAAATATGTTGCCTTTTATAAAATCTGCATACCTAACTTGGAAATCAATAATCAAGCATAAAATTTGTAAAATAAAAAAAAAATCAATGGACTAGCATTGGTTGTTTTATTTAAAACAAAGTCAAAAATAAGTGCAATGATTTAAACTTTTTTTTTATTTACATATACATATAATTTTCTTTTTCACTGGTGAAAATTGATCCTCTACAACCCCCCCCACTTTTAGTTAAGTTCCCAACCAAAACCTCATTAACTTAGAGTTAACTGTAACAATCTCTTGGGGCTGAGACAGGCCAAGATACTTCTGGGTGAATATTACCAGAAAAGATCGGAAGCCTGCAACTGCCTAAGCAAGAACAGGCTACGTAACAGGGATCCTTACCGGGCATTGCCGACTAAAATGACACCTAAGTAAACTGAGAGTAGTAGAGGATAGTGAGTGCAGATTCTGTGAGAAGGAGAACGAAACCTCCTTTACATCCTAACTGAATGAGTAGCACTCAAGAATCCAAGCACAGCATATCTAGGAGGATATCAAATAGAAGAGGGAGATTTACCTAACTTGAAGCTACTTCGAATCCTACACTTCCTTGAGAAAATAGAATTGGAAGGGTCATTATAGGCATTGAGACATTTCCTTGGTGCATTGAAGACATAAGGGGGCACAATAGATCTTTTAGGTCGCAGTATATTAACACCCCATTCTCAACATAACATAACATAACATAACATAACATAGAGTTAATAATAAACCAGTTAATGTAAATCAGTTTCACAAAGCCACTGACTGGTCATTTATTACAGTGACATCAATGAAATTGTAAAACAATTTTCCAACATCATAGAAAGGGGTATCAAATATCCTGGGTGGTTTGACGCTGTATTACACAAATTAATCGCTAAAAAGAATAAGCTCCATAAGAGGTCAGAGAACCAAGCTTCAAAGTGATTACATTAAATACTCCATTAACTGCAATCATTTGCTCAAATTGTCGTTGGAATTTTCAGTTGTTGTCTGACGAATTTACTGGCACACAAGTTCCGAGTCTGGTCTCTTTCTTGATGGTAATTGGGTGATAATTAACGTTTATGAGACGGATTGGAATTTCTTTAGCAGTCGTGACCAACCCCTTTCCGATCAAAATACCTCTTCCAACCTCTTCATCTTGGTTCCAAGGTTCCATCATGACAGGTGTTTCTTCTATAGATTCTCGAAGCCGTGTTACTTTAATGGTTTCACTTCTACCAGGTACCACCGTATCTTCCTGTATAGCAACTGACACAGTACTATCCCCATATGGATGTAGGAATACCTCTTCAGCACCAACTTTGATCACTCTGTTTTTAAAATCCAACTGGAAATCATTACATTGCATTACATCCATTCCAAGTATAACATCTTCGGTATCAGCGACAATAACAGTATGAGTGAACTTTTATGTACCAATTCCTAATTAAACCTAGATTTCCCCATGGATGTTGCCACTTTCACCTGTGGCAGTCCGCAGTCGCAATCTTGTTGGTAGAAGTCTTTTCGATTATTTATGGTTGTTGGTCGTCCTAGTTGCTCCAGTATCCACCAACAGTGTATACTTTTTACCATTTACTTCGCCGTCTACGTAAACACTATCATCGCGTCATTTCAAAGAGGTTATCATTATGAGAGGGTCTTTGGAACGGTTTTGGATCGAAGCTGCTCCCTCTAGGCCGACCCACTCTAGTTTTCCTGTGGCGTGTTGTCTTCAGTTGTTGAGACCCTAGATCGATTGCACGAATTATGTACATGTCGCAGTTCACCGCAATTTCAGCACCTGATGGTCTTTGTCTTCATCTTTTTATCAGTAAAGCTCTTCATTATGTTGACCAGTTGGTCGAGTTTATCTTCTACGTTTTCTTCTTTTAAAGTTCTCACTTTACGGTATCCTCCAGAAGCATACTCTAAAGCAGCGGACAAGACATCAACCAATGTTTTGTGGCGGGCTAAGCAAAGTGTTTTCTGCATCTCGTGGTCACGGAGTCCATCAACAAATTTTTGGACTGCCAAACATTCCATCATGTTTTCTGGAGCTGATTGGTAAGCAAATCGCACCACTCTGGCAATATCTACTTCATATTATTGAAGGGTTTCGTCTCGCTTCTGTTTGCGATTCTTTAATTGTGACTGGTATAAATGCTCCAAGTGTTCGTGGTCAAATCGCATGTTTAGTCTCTTTTTTTAGTTGTTCAAAATCATCGGTCTCTTCCACAGGATATAGTCTGAATGGCATTTAAAGCGTCTCTTCGAAGGGCGATGGTCAAATTTACTGCCTTCTCTCGTTCAGATCAGCTGTTTCGAACTGTTTAAGGTAGTTGGTCCATAACAACTTTCCATCGAAAGTTGGGGCTTTAACAGAGTTTACAGCTACTTCCAACTTCAACTTCGACTCCACCTCATGACACTTTATTTCACTGTCCTTAGAATGTTCTGTATGTTCCAGTTCTTCTATCTTCTTTTCCATTTCTTTTATTTTCTCCTCAACGGAAGACATTATTTTCTCCTCAATGGAAGTCATCTTATTTTCCACATCAGCAGACATTTCGTTTTTTAAAGAAAACATTTCGGAAGACACCCTTTCTACTAAAGAAGAAATATTAGACGAACATTTATTTTATTTTCCATAGAAGACATTTTGTTTTCCAAGTGGAATTTTTTTTTATCTTTTAAAGAAGAAATATCAGACGAAACTTTATTTTCTAAGGAAGCAATGTCAGAAAAAACTTTGGTTTCTAAAAAAGGAAATGGTAGAAGAAATATCGGTTTTTATCAGAAGACATTTCGGTTTTTAAGCAAGAGATCTTACTTTAAATAGAGGAAATTATAGGAGACGAATCATCAGAAAATAGATAGGTTTCCGAGTCCAAACCTTCACATTTTAGTGCTACTTTAAGCTGCTCTGCAAATTCTGATTTCTTCCCTGTCGTCTATAGGTAACGATCCTCTAGTTCTTGACGTAACTCAGACACTATTAAATCACGCAATTGTTTAGCCATTTTTGTCCACTATTTATTTACAGTTCCACTTTTAACACCAATGTAACGTTTGTTTAATTTATTTATAGTTTATTTATTTAAAACACGTTATTTACAATTTATTTATAACGTACTAATTAATTTATATAATACTTAAACATATTATTATAACTCACAATTCTAATTTATTTATTATAATTTGTCTTCACTATCCAACACTTAAATTGAATATTATGTTATTAATGAAATAATTAAAAAAATATATTTAAATGCACTTTTATTTTCTTATTAATTTTAACAATATTCTCGCTCGAACAACCTGAACGAACTACCCTAAAATCTCTTAAATTTCTAATCTTTTGAATACACATGGCTAAGGGCCATGTGTTGTTACATTTCTTGGGCACAAACAGTGTCGTGTTTTAAATTGTCTTTTAGGTTGACTGGGTGGTTGACCCATTTATTATGGTGTCACAATGGTGATATATATGTTACTAAATAATCTAGATGTTAACACTCGGCCGTCCTGACCTAAGAAGTGTCCTCGCTTCCACAGTTAGGTTTGGTATTTTTAAACTTTTTTGGATCGCCTTCAAGTTGATTGATTTTTCTGAAAAAGAAAATTGCACACAGTAATTATATTTTGACATTTTTTTTTTTTGTTTTTTTTTTTAATTTTTTTTTTATTATTTTTACCTTAGAAAAGGGCTTTTACTTTTACCTTCAAAGAGGGCCTTTATTTTTACCTCAGAAGAGGGCTTTTTTTTATTTTTACCTTAGAAAAGGGCTTTTACTTTTACCTTCAAAGAGGGCCTTTATTTTTACCTCAGAAGAGGGCTTTTTTTTATTTTTACCTTAGAAAAGGGCTTTTACTTTTACCTCCAAAGAGGGCCTTTATTTTTACCTCCGAA